CCCGGGAGGAGAATGGAGGAGAAGGGATTGCAGCGTGACCATGCCCTCTGGGGGGTGATTTCTCGCTTTCTATCTCTCTGTCTCTGTCTGGCGATCGCAAAGACTATCCAGGTTCTGGGGCCAGCAGGTGGCGTGGTGGGCAAGGCCCTGGACTCCCACATGACTGACCAGAATTTGAATCCCAGATCTGGAGGTCTGAAACTTACACTGAGTGTGTGTGCATGTGTGCCCAAAATCCTGAGAGGAGAATGGAGCAGAAGGGATTATGAGTGGGCATCGTCCTGGGGTTGATTTCTAGCTCTCTTTCTCTCTATCTCTCTCTGTGTCTCCAGCAAGTGGATCCACCCTATAGCAAAAATCTTTCTAAAAAAAAAAAAAAAAAAAAAAAGACCATCCAGGCTTGTGGTCTTCGCATCCTCCAGGGACATGGACGGCAGTTGCTTTTTGCTCCAGCAGGTGGGGATTTCTGATCCAACTAAATGAGCACCAGCTTGCCTCCTCGCTGTCTAAATGTGCAGATAGCCCGCCTGATGACACCACGCGGGGGGAGAAGGGGGTGTTTGTGGGGGTGGGGCGGAGCAGCTGCTGCCGGCATCCCTGAAGGAGGAAGCCTAAGGTGCGACCACCCAGCGTACTGCTCAGGCACACGTGCAGCTGCAGCTCAGGCACAGCGGCCGCCTGGGGCAGAAACCGAGAGCGAGAAGAGGGGAACAAACACGTCCTGCGTGCGTGGGTGTGGCCTTGGCTGTCACCGCAGGGGAGGCCCCTTCTAAGCAGGCTAAGAGGCCGTGAGAAAGGCCAAAGTCAAACCGAAAACCGCTTCCAGCTGACCTCTGCTCTTGGAACTTGGAGCCATCGGCTGGCAACAGGCTCCCGGGTAGGCGCAGGCTTTCTCCTGGAGAGAGCACAGGGCGCCTGCCTCTCCAGCCCAGCCAGAGAGAGGGGGACACCTCTCAGCGCCCAAGAACAGAGGGTGCCAAGCAGGCAGCTGGAGGCTGGGGGGAGGGACGTGCAGGCCGAGATCTGGGGGTGGAGTCCAGGGCGGGAAGGTCAGGAAAACTCATTCCCTACCTCTTCACCCTTTGGCACCATGTCTGTGTTTTAAATCTGGGGACACCGATGCCACTAGGGCTGAGACTCCAGAGCCGGACCACTTTCTCAAGAATGGCAGGAATCCGAGGGAGTTCTGGGGTCACCTGTGGCCAGATACAGTCCAAACCCACATGAATCCGACTAATAAAATCATTCCTCATTCCCTGGGCGCCGTGCGGGAGGTGGGGGCGGAAGCGCGGGGACCCCGAAAGGAGGTGGAGTAGACTGGCTAGGAGCTCTCGCCCCCACTCGGTCCTCACTCCGCAGATGCAGGGAGTGGGGGGCTACAGGGTGCCTTCTAACCCTCACCTGTTCCCCTGCCTCCCCGCCTCTCCGACGTCCGGGAGCTCGGTCACGGTCCCCGCAGCCGCAGAGCTCCTGCCATGGCCTCACGCCCCCAGACCACCGGAGAAAGGAGCTCGCGGGAGGGCGCGCGGCGGACAGAAGGGCAGGGTTCAGAACGCGGGGACCAGAGCCTAGACCCGGGCAGGGGGAGCCTTCCGGAGCGCCGCCCACGACCTCCAGTATTCTCACCAAAGTTTCCTCCACTCCCGAGCCTGGCCATGTCACCTGCGAGTCGGAGACCCCCGCGTGGCACCTCTCCTCGCGGGCGCCCCCTCCACGCGCACCGCCGCCTGCCAGGGGACGCTAGGAGCGCAGCGGGCGCGCCAGGGCGCAGCACTTGCAGTCGGTGGGCGCCTCCAATCTCCGGCCTCCCCCAGCCCTTCCCTGCTCTTTCGCCACCCCCCATCCCCCGAGACCCGGCCCGAGAGGCAGAGGTCGTGGCCACCGACTCTTACCTAGTCCCGGCACGAAAGTGTTCAGGAAGAGACAAATGACCGCCACCGGGAAGGGCATGTAGGGGATGGCGGCGCGCAGGGGGCCCTTCTTCTCGCGGACCTGCACCACCACCCCGCTGGACGACGACGCCCCCC